TGGACGGAGGAGGCCTCTACGCGAGCGCTTCGTATCCGTCTAGATTGAGGAAAGCCTGCGACAGGCATTGGGATAGTAGCTACACGCCGCCACCGATCTTGGATCCTTCCCGCCCTGGGCCTGGCCTGTACGCCAGGCTGCATCAGTACGAGAGGGATTCTGATTTCAGCTCCGACGACTCGCAAGGGAACGATGGCCCTCCCCCTAGAATTAATATCGGCACGAGGTATCAGGCTACGATACCGCCGGTCGGTAGTGACGGGGACAGAGGAAAGGGGGAGCCAGAGGCCGACCATCTGCTCTGGGATCCTGGTATAAATAACGTGCTGACGGATAACGAATGTAAGTAGTAGGATTTTTGTTCGAGGTTCTTGGATTTGGTTTATAAGGATACGTGAAGAGTATTTGAGATGCTTGGTTTTTGACGTTTGACGAGTTCAGAAAGAAATGTGGTGTAATACTGTTTTCTCTAAAAGTGAACGAAAGGAATCGTGTATTTGTCGAGTATAATGAATAATAATAGTGTATATTAATATTTGAAAGTATACAGATTTTTTTATTAAGTTTAGCTATATATTCAGTGGAATATGCTAATGATTTTTGTACCACTTTTACTCTGAATTCTTCATTTAACATTGGTGAACAATTTCTTTTCTCGCTTGTATATACGCATTTTTTAAAAATAAAAAGATTGCTTACGTAGGATTCGAGTATTTGTATAAAGGAAATTAAAATTTTATATATTGTATGTTAAAGAAATAATCCGAAATTTTAAGAAGTTGCATTAAAATAAATAAAAGTTTCTCAATTGAATCATAAAATCAAGTTTTTTGTTCTTCTTAGTAAATTATTATATATTATATATTATTATATTATATTTATAAATTATTATAAAGCTTTAAAATCTCGTATATTATTAAAAACATAAAAATTAAGAAAAAATTCTCTCATATTTCGGGATTTACATTATTTTATTAATAAAATATCGCTCGAAGAATATGTATTTTCTTTTCAATCACCATTTTTATATCTAAAATTTAAAGATTATTTTCTTTGCATTATAACTTTTTCGACAATTTCTCGAATTAAAATTTGCATATCATTTTTCCTCTGAATTCCCCATTAAATATTCATCGCAATGAATATTAACAAGCTATTTAAAGCGATATATAATCAATATTATAAATAAAAAATTGAAAAATAATATATTAAGATTATTGTTTGAAGCCAGTATACATACATTTATCGATAATAAAGTTTCATCGTAACGAATTTTCGTATTATGAATTTTAAATATAAAGTAACTAAAGAAAAATATAAATAGGGAAAAGAAAATTTCGTAAAAACGTTATTATTTTATAAAAATACAGTTATTATTTTATGGAATAAAACGCAGTTTCATCCGGTCCCCGATTAAAGCGAGCAATCGATTGATCAATGTTCCGCAATATTTTTACTTATACATCACAGGGGACGCATCAAAAGAATAAATAGATTACGCATAAACGTAGATTGTAATGAAATACTACAGGGTGGCAATACGTGAAGCGTTTGCAATATTGCGATCGCCGCCATGGCACAAAGACAAATTACATTTAGTTTACGATTTCGCGCGAGAACGCGTTGTTTCCGCGCGATCAAATTCTATCTGAAACGAAAAACTTTTGTTTTGCAGTGGATATGTACCTACAATTTGCATGCTGCGCCGCGGTACCAGGTGGAGGAAGAAACAAAGAATACGCGCTTCATCTGCTGCACATGTGCAAAGGGAATATTCATGTACGATACTTTCACTTTAATTTCTTTATTCCATTCCATTCACACAATCTGCAAACGATCTTATTTTTCTCTCTTTCCTTCAATACGATATTTTTGAGAACTAGATGTTAAAAAAGAGGAACAAAGAAAAACGAAAAGATAGTACATCGTTTTTTATTAATGTTTTATTTCTAATGGAATAATTCATTAAAGATTAATTAGAAGAATTACGAATCGTGCTATCTTAGCTTAGTTATGTACATATTACGAAATCATATTCTATTTTGTGTATTTATATGTTTCTCTATCCTTTAAGTTTTTTAATTTCGAATATCCGATATTTCACTTACTTAATGTAAATTTAATTATATGCTTTTACAATTACTGTGGTTTTTTGATGTGTGCATTACAAAAGAAAAAAATTACAATCGAATTTATTATCTCTTCGTTCCAGAAAAGTATCTAGAAAAATAGAATGATCAAACAATGCATGCATGTAAGATATATGCCCTAATTATACTAATACACTATTATACTAATACTTTCAAATAATAATCATTTATAAAAATAATAATTTTAAAAACTTAAACGTGTAACAAATTACACTTTTCAAACGATTTTTCATAATATTGCTATTACATAATGAAAGGACAGTAATGCGTTTATAGTTCTTCGAAAATCGAATCCTGAATGTTTATCCAAATGATTTTTGAGACATTCGAATACATTTATAGTTCGCCTCACGATTTTATTTTCCAAAATTGATGTGAAATAAATATTAAATCGGGCGTTACTGTGCGTTAGAATTAATAATTTTCGATTCAATCGCGATTGATACGATCGATCGTTGGATTCCAGGAGGCCATGTTGAAGTTGATGAGACCAACACCTCCGTTGCCAGCGGAACATCCATTGCTCAGTTACGAGTGTCACGAGTCGGACCGATGGACGTCGCAAGAGATGGACGCATTCTATCAGGGCCTGTTGAAGTACAACAAGGATTTCTCTGCGATCTCGCGAGACGTGGGTGGCAAGTCCGCGAAACAATGCGTGCAATTCTATTATCTGTGGAAGAGGCTCTGCCCGGACGAATACAGCAGACTTCGTGTTCGCCACGGTAAACCAAAGATTAAGACAGAGAGCAAGGATTGCAAGGATACCAGGGAGCTTCGCGACGCCATTGCGTCGGTCACGGAGATGGACTTTAGCGAAGACAAATCTATTCTTCATCGCACTCTGGTGAGTTCGATCGATGCCGTTACTGTGAATCTGTTTAATAAAATAAACAAAAAGATCAATTATAAAAGATTTTTGGTCTCTTTATAATTTTTATTTATTTACTCGAAACATCTGTTATATGCAATATCGTTTAAAATTGTAAAAATAGTATACTTTTGATTAATGGTATGGCCATGTATTATCGAAGAGATCTTAGAGAGATATTATAAATCGATTTAATGGTTAATAAAAGTTGGAAGAAAAATTGTGAATTTTTTTTCTCAGTTACAGACAAATGAGAGAGAAAACTCGGCTACTCTGACCACCAGCGACGGAGAGCTGAGATTATTTGCATACGACTGCCCCGATGTGAGTACCATTCACGTATCGTTCTCCATGTATTTTATCTTTTATCTACAAGCTTTACTTGATACAAATAAAACGAATAATTCAAAACGAATACAATGATTATACTTGAACAAAAGAACAATATAATTTTTTTTTATTTTTATTTATTTTCTTTTTTTTTTATTATTAGAAATGTACGATGTAATTTCAATATTTTTTTTTTTCACAAAAATATATACAATATTCGTTTTCTTTTATTTTTAACAACAAACATCGATCGATCGTTAAATGTCTAGAGAATTCTATCTAAAGTATTATTGTATTATCTTTATCGAACTTAAATTCTCAAACTAACCAACTTGTCGAGTATCGAGTACGAATCGTTCTAAAGAAATCCTTTCTAGAATTATTTATACAAAAATTATTATCAATACGAATGAATGAGATTCTTTAATCATGAGATAAATGAAATCGATTCATACTCGATCCATACTCGTGAAAGCGCGTGACAATACTCGACACGCGTAGATGATAACGCGTGAACGTTTAAGTGTCGCATGTGACTTGTTGTTGGACCTGTCGTTTCTACTTTTCTCTCACGCTTTCTTCTCACAATGGTACAAGCGCGTTGTGCGTTGTGCGTGAAACCACACGTTTTTTTCTGCGTTCTACTTATTCTTATATGTATTACTTATTACGTCATCGCCCGTCGTCGTCGTCGTCCTCGTCGTCGTCGTCGTCGTCGTCGTCGCCCCCTCGTCGCAGTCTTCGTCGTCGTACATTGTTGTTGTTTGTTTGTGTTGTTTATTTTGGCTTTGTGTTTCTTTGTGTTGTCAGAGCTTTAGCGGAAGTGTAACAGTAACGATGGCCGGGAGCACCCAAACCGCCCAAACCGGCAATACCGGCCACGCCACAGTCAACACCAACTCACAAACTCACACTAGTTCTGAGCAACAACTACCCGTGCCCACCCCACTTCACTACCCCTGCAAGATTTGCGGGAAGTAAGTCTCCAATCTCTAATCTAAAACGAAAAAGAAAAAAAAAAAAAAAAGAAAAGAAAAGAAAAAGAAAAAAGAAAAAAAAAGAAAAGAAATTTTAAATCCGTTCGAACAAATTAAACCGACGGCCCAGCCAATGACACAAGTGACTTAATTAACACGGCGGGTATCGAGCGGCAAGTATCGGCGCAAGCACAGTTATAGAGAACACTTTGCTTTTTTCTAGAGAGAGAGAGAGAGAGAGAGAGAGAGTGAGAGCGAGAA